CAATGCTTTGATGTTTCGCAAGGTAGTGGGAAGCGCATTGTCGATGTTAAGCAACGGATGTTATCATCTGGTGCGCCTAGCATTTTAACACATTGTGTAGTGAGCCTGTGTCTTTGAGCTCAGAATCGTTTACTCACTTTACAGGGTGGTATTTATACGGAGACAGAACTTCAGAGGAATGCAATTGCATGCATGTAAGAAAGGAGTTTGTGATAACGTAGACTAAACATGAATGACACTTTGCTCCTTATTGAAAAGTGTTCACGAGAAAAATATTTTCTGTATTATGTTTCCTGCAAAGTATTCTACAGAATTATTGGAAGTCGAGGGATTTCCACAATCCAGTACACTTCCGCCCGAAAGAAATGAACGTAATGAATGAAGTTGTGATAAGAAGCGTTACTTAATTTTCGGTTTTACAATTCTATGTACTGGGTAAGGTTGAGTAGATAGTGAATTGCTTGTGTTTTCTATAGAATGCAAGGAACCAAAGGATTAGGGAAATTACAAAGACTTCAAGTATCATCATTTTAAAATTCGGAAGCGACTCTAAGATGTTCGAAAGTTGTTTGATGACAGCTGAGAAAAGGTTGGTAATATCTTCAAATTTGAGGCCACTGCCTTACTCAGCGTTGGTGGAATAATTTAGGTAATATATGTTGCTTCGTTTACGAAATGCGAGTCGTCCTCTGAGAGTGGCCGTCGAAATTCCTCCTGGGCATCGTATTGTGCAGTTCTCCACAATGGTTGAGCTGCTGAAGTGAAATCGTATGGTAGAAATTTTTCCTTCTGGAGTGCATCGTACGAGCTGGGTATTGTTTGAGCACTCAATTTGTGCGGTTTCCTCACTTATCGAAGATGTACACGAGACATTTGTCCTCGCTCCTTGCGTGCAATCGTAACAGCCTGTTAGTTCTTCCATATTCACTTGGCAGGAGTTATTGTTGTTGTTGGCGGCGATGACTAGTCCGTTTGCTGATATTTGGACTGCGAGCGCGGAGCCAATCGTTGTCTTTGCCTTGACGGTGGAACCTTCATTGATTATCGCTATGTTAGTTGTAATTATTGGAAGTTTGTTATGCTTGTTTTGTGAAACTGTGATACAGTTCCATTTGAGCATGTGTATACGACGATATATTTCCTGGAATTACTCGAACGAGTATTCTCTGAGAAGAGACAGTTTCTGAATGATTCTGCATCTTCTTCTGTTCTGCATTGTAATAGTCCTGCGGGTTTGTGGTAATGACTCTATTCGCGCTGCGATGTTTTGTCGGTTATGAAATAACTTGAAAGAATCGGAAAGTTTGGCGGAATTGTGCTTGCAAGAGTCAAATGGAGTTTGTTCCATGTAAAGGGTATTCCTGGCTGAAGAGTGAATCGTTGATTGGGAGTAGATCCTTCGGGCTTTATTGTTGCGATATCATCTGCGAATGCTCCAGATAGGGCACGAGAAGATCCTGTATATTTATGTGACGTGGGTATCGCATAGTATCTGTAGAAGAGCCATGTCAAAGTGCAGTGAAAACACCAGTTACACCAGAAGCATCACACCTTAGCACACAATAAGTATACCCTGATTTTGAGTTCGAGATTGTGAAGTCTTCTAGTTTCATCTCTGGTTTTAGTGATGAGCAGGTGTTACCTTTGCAGCTCTCTGTATTACGGCACTGATGAAGTGATTCTGTGAAAAATTTGTGATCTCTTGTGAAGGATCCAGTCTTCTGTTTATAGATTTGAGAGGTATGGTCAAGCCACATCCCCTTGAGTCGATTTTATCTGTTCTCCAGTAGGAGACAAGCTTCTTTCCCGATCGGCTGGAGTAGCAATTACTTATACTGGTCGTACGTGCATTTTTCTTCATTGTTTTTGTTGTGAATGATATAAACAAGTTGTTTGTTTTGTGATCTTCACTTATTGTTAGACTACCGACTATATAAGCATCGGTCGGTAGGTTAGACTTCATTCTTTTGTGTCGACCTTGGAGTGAGCCACCTCCAGCATTCAATAAAGCTTCACCTTCTCCGGCTGTACTACCAGACAGAGGACACTACAGTGGCGATCAGGAAGTAACGACTCCACTCGATCCTGCACACTTCAGTGAACGAAGGAGAGAAGAGTCCTGTATCCTATTTTATATATATTCGGCATATACAGGGGGGGCCAAAAAAAAGACATTTTGCCTCCACTTCCAGATGGATTTAAGCACATTTTGCTCAACTCAGACCGAACGGTTCCAACTTATTATTAAAGAGCGCATTCCATTCTATAAGAAAATCTTCATAGTGGCCACCTACGTGGACGGCATCAGAAGAATTTGCCCTGGAAACATGGTGCACTGGTCGATCTCAATGGGGTCTTCGAAGGATCGTGTACCATAACGACCCTTACTGGAAAGCTAGTTCCGAGGGGATTTGCACAGTGGTAGCTAATGCCTCTAGAAAACTATCCAACATTAAATCGATTCACGAAATTGCGTAAGAGCTTCAGGCTGAAGCTTACGGTAGACCTCCTTGAGCCTGACGACGGTGACAGATGACGTCATATTCTGAAGACGGTGAGGGCAGTGAAGGAGCCTGCGTCACTTATAGAGGGACACTTAGGGAATACTCTGCTGAGGAACTCCCGTCAACGACAGCAATCTCTGCGAAGAAAAAAGGCCGAAGTCCGACATAGGCAAAATGTCTTTTTTTTTTTGGCCCCCCCTGTATATTCGTATATATATCTGTTATGTGAAGCTATAAGAAATTTGAGTGCGATAAGTTTTTTGCCTTTTCAACGTTTTGACACTTTCCTGTTGGGTGAGACAATCTGGAAGTCAAAAGTGGGACAAGACCCACCTATTCACAAAAATTTTTTTGCTTGCCCTGTTCCTAGTTGTCTTTGTCTTCGAAAGGATCGAAAGTTGAGGAAGACCAGTTTAGTGAAGCAATGGACCCAAACACAGTTTTATCGATGTTTAAGCAGTTGATGGATGAGCAAAGAAGCATCACATCACAGACCGTTACAGATGTCATCGCAAAGATTATGGACCGTATCCCAGAAAGAGGACAAGGCGATTCCCTACCACTAAAACATACCTCCATTCCAAACCTGAGGACAGCACTGAGCAATCGAGAAAAGTTTGAATTCGACCCAGAAGCTGACATGAGCTTTTCCAAATGGTTTTCGCGATACCCAAAACAACTATCAGAAAGCGCCAAAGTCAGACTACTGTGTGAGAAATTGGACACTGTTTCATTCAAAAAGTACCAGCGGCACGTGCTGCCAAGGGATTTGTCTCAAATTGGATTCGGAGAAACTGTGGAAATGCTAAGACAATTGTTCGATTGCAAAACATCGTTGTTTAGTACACGACATCAGTGTCTCAAATTGAAGAAAAGTGATACTGAAGACTTCCTCACGTATACCGGTAGAGTGAACGAATTGTGCGAAAAAGCAAAGATTCATGAACTGGATTCTTATGGAATCAAATGTTTGCTTTGGATTTTCGGATTGAAATCTCAACAAGAAGCTGAGATTAGGCAAAGGTTGATCGCAGTTTTGGACAGAGAACAAAAAGCAGGCAAAACAATGTCCTTACATGAGCTGCACAAAGAATACGAGAACTTTTTGAGCCTCAAGAGAGACAGCGAAATTGTCGCCGGAAGTATGAAGATGGTGGAAGCTACATCCACACAGAAGCGAAAGGAAATCGAATGCTGGAAATTGCGAAGATAATCACTATGCTCGTCAGTGTAAATCAAAACCTTGGTTCTGCAAGAAGTGCAGAAAAGTTGGTCACAAAGAGAAGTTCTGTGTCATACTGCGACAGAAGAAGTCCGACATCTTTCAAGAGCCGATGAAGAGAAACAGCAAAAGAAAAAGCAGTGGAAGCAAAAGAGTTTCCAGAGAAGAAGTACGAACTGTTAGGATTGCTAACGCAGCACTCGAAGCAAATTCTCATCGCATGTACGTCAACGCAGTCGTGAACAACTGCACCGTCAAGTTCCTACTTGATACAGGATCTGACATCACGTTGCTGAATGAAAAGACGTGGAAGAAGATGGGATCTCCAACACTGGAGAAGACCAATGTCGTTGTGAAGAACGCTAGTGGAGACCAGATGAAGGTCTACGGCAAACTGAGATGCATCATCGAAATGAAAGGTATCAAAACAGAAGGCTACGCCTATGTGACGCCTTACAATTCACTTATTGGCCTTGAATGGATTCGAGGAAATGAAGAAATGGCGTATCACATGGGTATGATGACATCGGAGGTGAAGGTGGCACCTAACTCCGACATAGAAGAAGCACTCAAGAAAATTATCCGCAAGTTTTCGAAGAAGGCCTGGGCCGTTGAACAAAGAAAAGTTACCCTGCAGCTAATACCGAATGTGCGTCCCGTATTCTGCCGCAGTCGACCAGTCCCCACGCAGCTTTGGAAGCAGTAAATGCTGAGCTAAATAGGCTCGAACAATGGGAGTCATTCACACCTGTGAGCCACAGCGAATGGGCCGCACCTATTGTTTGCGTCAAGAAGCAAAATGGGAAACTCAGAGTATGTGCTGATTTTTCAACAGGCCTGAATAACGCATTACAGTCCTTCGATTATCCCTTACCAATGCCTGAAGACATCTTCGCATCTTTGAACGGAGGAACAATGTTTTCCCAGATTGACCTTTCAGACGCCTACTTGCAGTTGGAGTTGTCGGAAGAGTCAAAGAGAAAAGTTGTGATAAACACACATAGAGGATTATTTCAATACAATCGACCACCTTTCGGAATCAAGACTGCCCCAGGCATATTCCAGCAAGTAATAAACAAAAGTGGTATCTGGACTCAGAGGAGTGACTACCTATCTGGATGATATTTTGGTGAGCGGAAAAACAAAGGAAGAAGCATAACGACAACTTGTTAGCAGTATTCGGAAGAATAGCCGACTATGGATTAAAAGTGCGTCTCGATAAATGTGCGTTCTTCAAGCCAGAAATCCGGTATCTTGGCTTTATTCTTGACAAAAAACGGGAGAGAGACCAGATTCCAAGAAAATAGAAGCAATAAAGAATATGAAGGAACCGAGAAACCTCACCCAGCTAAGAGCATTTCTTGGCATGGTGACATACTACTCTGCTTTTCTACCATTCATGAAGGACCTCCGTGGTCCGCTAGATACGTTATTGAAGAAAGATGCAAAATGGAAGTGCTCATTCAAAGAGCAGGAAGCATCCAAAATCTTGAAGAAAGCGCTGTCAAGTGAAATGAACCTCGCTCACTATGATCCACGACAACAAATTGTTGTTGCAGCGGATGCTTGTGATTATGGAATTGGCTGTGTTATTCACATCGCTATGTTGATGGTTCGGAAAAACCCATTGCACATGCATCTCGATCGTTATCAAGTGCTGAGAAGAATTACTCTCAATTGAAAAGAAAGCCTTGGGACTTGTGTTTGCTGTGAAGAAATTCCACAAGTATCTGTTGGAAGGAAATTTCTCCTGTTAACAGACCATAAGCCACTATTGGCGATCTCCGGAGACAAGAAAGGAATTCCCATTCATTCTGCAAATCGCCTCATGAGATGGGCGACCATTATTGGGATATGATTTCGACATCGAATATGTCAACACAAAGCAGTTTGGACAAGTGGACGGCTTGTCAAGGTTGAAAAATCCATTAGAAACTAAAGATATGGTGATCGCAGCAGTGGAGAAGGATATTTCCGGCTTATTGAAAGAATGCATCAGAAATTTGCCGCTGAGTTATGAGCACGTCAAAATTAGCACTGAAAGAGATCCACTTCTCAGAAGAGTCAAGTCTTATGTGAAACGTGGAAGCCTGGCCGAAAGTCAGTTCAAATCTGGCACCATTCTTCAACAGAAGAGAGACACTATCGCTCGTAGAAGGTTGTCTCATGACGGGAGAAAGAGTTGTGATCCCGTAGGAATTACAAGCAAATGATCTCAAGGAACTACACGTCGGTCATCCTGGAATTGTGAGGATGAAAAACCTTGCTAGAAGCTATGTAATTGGCCAAATATTGATGAAGACTGTGAAAATTCAGTGCGAAACTGTTTGTAATGTCAAGAATATGCGAAGAATCCAATCAATGTACCTTTGGAGACATGGACAACTCCTACTAGTGTCTGGCAAAGTTCGCTGTTGCCGGTGAAAAATACTTCAACATCGCCGTTCTGTACTAAGAAGCCAAACCTAAGATGAAGAAGCAATTCGATCGAAGGAACCGTGTTGCGCCGAAGAAGTTCGAAATTGGAGATATTGTACACGTACAGATGGAAGGCTCCAAATTGTATTTGGAAGGAAGGAGCAATAGTCAAGCGCCTTGTAAAAGTCAACTATGAAGTTGAAGTAGACGGAAAAGTAGTGCGGAAGCATGCGAACCAATTGCGAAGAAGTAACACCAAGATGAAGTCGGTCATTGAAGACAAGCCATTGAAAACTCTTCTTGAAGCACTGGAACTAGACGAAGTGCTGAAGAGGAATAACGAAGCAGCAGACTGTAAATCGGATGTTGATACAGCCTTACCGAGCTCACCGGAAGTTAGGCTACGACGATCAACGAGAACAAGAATACCAGTGCAGAGATATGGTTGTAAACCGCTAGTTGATGTTGTTAAGCGTAAATGAGTTTTCTTCTGATAGAAAGTTCATAATATCATGCCTTTGTACTAGGGGAGGTGTTGTGAATGATATAAACAAGTTGTTTGTTTTGTGATCTTCACTTATTGTTAGACTACCGACTATATAAGCATCGGTCGGTAGGTTAGACTTCATTCTTTTGTGTCGACCTTGGAGTGAGCCACCTCCAGCATTCAATAAAGCTTCACCTTCTCCGGCTGTACTACCAGACAGAGGACACTACAGTTTCCCATCGTGCAATATGACATTTCACCTTGGAGTGTTACTATATTGGAGCACCATTGGACGGATGGAAGCTCTGGGTTTTGCCGTGATTTTCCTGTACACAGAGCAAACTGCTAGCCTGAGAGCACGGAGCGCGCGGATTAGTTTTCTTCCTATCCAGTAGAATAATCTGAAGATCGGAATGCAGGCGTGCAGAACTAGCTTCAATGTCACAAGGAGGACCAGAGATGCGGCGATTTCGATCACTCTCCAGCATTACATGTTGTAGAATTTTTTTCCAACAGATATAGCATTGAAGTGTTTCACAGATTGGCTGTCCAGGGCAAGTTAGTGTTGACGAAAGTATTTTTTCACCATTGATCCAGCCATTGATGAAAACCTCGTATTCAAAGATCACTATCGACGTTGGGAATAGTATTAGAGTGTCGGTTTCGTAGCTTTTGATATAGACGCATGTAGTCGAGCTGCAGGCTTCCAGTATATCCAATATAGTTGTCGTTTTAACGGTTACTCCTCCTTTTTCGCAACTTGGAATCGAATAACTTGTCTTTGAGTTCTGGATATCGTCCTTGTGGCTGATAATATTCCTTTGGGAATCGTTCCCCACGCGCGTTTCATAATAGACGAGTTCATGAAGTCAAACGTTGTCACCGGTGAATAGTAGACACAGAAGACGACTGCATGGTTGACGCTGCACATGTATGGTATTTGCAGAATGCTGGTGAGCCTGATTGGAACCGGATTAGATATTCATTTTCCATCGTACGAGAAGTAGTAGTAATCCTCCTTGTTGAAGAATTCTCCTGTCGTAATTTGCGGCTCTGGTACGATTATTATTGTACCATCATAAAGTTCAATTTGATAAAAAATTCCTATCCTCTGAGTATTGGAACATACTGACGCTTGTGGAATTAACATTCTGGTGGTGGTTTGTATTTTTTATTTATTTATTTATTTATGCGTTCAATGACGCGCCATGTTGAAGCATTTGGCTGTATGCGAAATCATCATGCAGACTCAAAAAAAACAATGGAATGAACGGAAAATTGCTAAAATAACCTGCCATAAAACCCGATGATTAGTTAACACATAAAAGAATTAGTGAATACTAACAAAAACACAAAGCACAGAAGGTCGTTCAGGCGAGCAAGCGAGCAGCTTCCTCCAGAACATGAGCAAAAGAGTTAGGAATGATACTGTGACGACTGAAACTCGACCCTAACGGTAAAGTCACAAGAGGCTATGAGCGCTCTGACCAGAGATGTATGGGATAAACGCTGCAGTGTAAGCCAGCACCAGTCGGCCATGGTGCCCTTAGCGCCACTTGCGGGGTCATGGGAGCTTACCGGCACTTCGAAACACGGGTATGCCGACCACCCACGTGGAACCGATAAACTTGGCAAAACCCGCCGCGCCGTATCCCTATCACTCGGACCAGAGACCTCATCACCATACCATGCTTAGAGAGTTGTAACGTAATTTGTCATTCTGAAGTGAATCAAATAAGTATCATTCACGCGAAGATAGGACTAGTGAGGAGGCCACCCTGCTTGAGCAACCGAAAAGAGTGAACAATATAGGAACAAACCGATTACAAAAACTACGATACGTCTTCTACGCCAAGAGTTCCCAGCAAATCTAGTTTGTTAAAGCTGCCTTAAACTGAGACGAGTTCTGGCACAATAAAACAGAAGAAGGTAGACGTGAAAGCCAACGAGTCGTGCGTAAAATGAAACAGTTGTGACGAAGTTGCTTGTGGAATTTGCCCATTCTATGGCCGAAAAATTGGAAGCCGCCTCGTCGTCCACTAGAGGTCGAAATACCCAAAACTCTGATGGCCGGAGTCGCAGTTCGCCTTTAAGTATCTTAAATGCAAGAACCAGATCAGATATAATCCTTCTGTGGAAGAGACTCTTCAAATTAAGTTCCCGGAGACGAGTTCCATAGGACGGGCAGAGTGTCAGGGTAACTCGTGCTGAGGAATGCTTTGTAGTACAAGATCCGAGTGAAAGTTTTCTGAACTTTCTCGAGCTTTTGGAACGTCTTTGACAAGGTGTGGGCTCCAAACGGGGCTACAGTATTCAACAATGGGAAGAATACATGATTTGAAGAGTCTGATCCACATGTCAATATCGGAACAGTGAATGTTTCTAAATAGGAGATAGACCAACCTGAGCGCTTTGTTGCTAGCTTCGTCCACCTGGGCGCTCCAACTCAAATTTTTCGATAATTTGATTCCCAAGTCTTTCATTTGCTCACTATGCTTTATGATAGTCTTATCCGGGAAGTATACTTCGACTGGGGACGTCCCGAGTGAAAATGAGTACGTTTTGCTGGTATTGATTTCTAACCTCCAGGAAAGCGCCCAGCTAATCATTCTTTCAACGGATTTATTCAGCGCTACTTGAGCTTCATGTCTTTCCTTCCTGCTCATAGGATCACTGCTACTTTGATATCATCGGCAAACCGGCAACAGTGATTCTGTTGTCGGTTTTGAGATGATCCAGCAAATCATAAGTGTAAATGAGGAAAAGCAGTGGCGAGAGCACGGGGATAGCATCCTTGGGGAACCCCTGACGGACAATCTCTCGTAGTGGAAATACTGTCTCCAAACGAACGCTAAATTTCCACCCTTCCAGGTATGATCTGAATAAGTTCAAGGTGCCCTCCCTGATTCCAATACTCTCAAGCCTGGCCAACAGCCTTGAATGATATACCTTATCGAAGGCTTTGCTTAAATCAAAATGAAGACATCAACATTTTTCCACTGTTGAGGGCTTCAATCCAGGCAGCTAAGTAATTGCGTACATGTGGATGCCCCAGGAAGAAAGCCATGCTGCTCAGTGGCGATGAGGTCGAGTTTAGTGACCCAATCCAGAAGCTCTTTCTTTACTATTTTCTCGAAAATTTTCAGTGGAGTGGGTAAGATGCTTATAGATCTGAAATTCGATACGAGATTGCAGTTGGTACTTTTAGGAATTGGCGTGACAAATGATTTTTCTAGATGGCTGGATTTGACTTTGCAGAAGGACAATATTGAAAATGTGCGTCAGAGGGACCGCAAGATACTTTGAATAATCTTTGAAAAATATTTGGGGTATCCCATCGGCTGTGAGTGAGAGTGATGGCTTGAGAGCTCTAAGATACTTTAGCACCGTGCTCGGAGAAATGTTGGACAGCACAAGGCAATCGGTAGAAACTGAAGGTAATGTCATGGCGCATTCTGTTGATTTTCCATATACACTGGCAAAATAATTCGCGATAGCTTCAGCTTTCAAGAAATCACTTGAGTACTTTTTTCCTTCCCGAGTCTTCAAGAATTTGTTGTGTGCTAGAGCTTGCTTTCACTTTTTTGATGTGGTCAAAAAGCTTTTTCATGTGATTGTTCTTCGCAAGCTTTCTTGTTTTATAGGCTCGAGGTTTTTTGAAATTTCGACAAAAAGCGCACTTTTAGATGGTTGTGACAACTGCTGAAATAGCCGGTCGCGCTGCTCAAAAAGGTTCAAGATATGCTTAGGATCTCTGACAGACTCATGCTTCTCAATTAGGCGCAGGGGGACATGGCGATCAATGATATCTCGTATAAT